ATCTTGAAGCACGATACATTTCAGCTTAACTGAACAAGTACCTAATAAAGTTGGCTCTTTTCCCCCTCTGCCAGATACTAAAAAATAAGTATATTCCACACTAATCAAGTGTTTGCATACTAGAGGAAAAGAGCAGCTCTTGATGCTCTCCTTTGTTACTCTACTAGACTCTCAAGCCTCACTGTTCACACACTCATTTCAGACAACCAGCTACTACAGCAAAGTATACTCACCAGAGGAACACTGAAATACTAATTCAGAGCTGCTGCAGAACACCTGTGGTTTCTGCTCAGTCTTTCGGATGCGGGAAAGCTAACAAACAGGACATGTGGCATGGACTGGTTAGAGCAGACAGGTTTGGGAAATACGCCTTAGCTAACAATAACCAAGGGAGAAACCATCATGTGTCCTAGCTACCTACTGCTCCTTGAGAAATTTGGGTATTTTGCCAATCCACTCAAGGCCAGGCCAAGGTATGCAGTGGAAAGCCAGAAGAAAAGGAAGAGGAGCAAAAAATGAAAGCTGCAAAAGCCAAAGAGATTAGATATTAGTAAACGCTGTTCACTCACACCACCACTTTATCACCGTTATAGTCTGGCACACCTACCTATTTTACTGAGGCCTGCTTTGCCTATTTGGAAGGGGAAACAGCCAACTGACTAGTCATTATCTTTACAGGTGCTAAGGAAAGTACCCTAAAGGCAATTCAGCAGCAGTAAATATACCAGTACAATAAAAGTGACATGCTAATTGCAAGCACCAGTGACAACAGAAGACCACGACTTTGATCTCCCTTCATTTGTAGACACTAAAACTTGTGCTTCTATATCTAATTTAATTTTCTGTAACTAAAACAAGCCAGGTCAGGCATCTTTATTGAGTTACTGCTATTAATTTTTATTTAGAAGGAAAACTACATGGCTCTACACAAAACCAGCTGACAGCAAACCTAGCAACATCTCCATAAAAGCTTGAGATGGCACTTCAGTACAAGTCATTCACCTCAGGAAAGTGCCATTCAGTAGCATATTGCAAGCTTCTGTGACTAGCTTAAATTAAATGACAAACACTGCCTGAGGAATGGATTGCCTTACAAAGAGGCACAGAAAAAAAGGGCATGTTAATATTTAACTAGAATTTTTTTACATAACCAGTGATTGTCATGCATACTTTAGAGATCTTTAAGTGCTACAAACTTGGATGTATATGTACCCACTCTTACATGCATCTTTCAACAAATTTGAATCAGATTTACTAAGCACACCACTGTGTTTTTGAACCTCTGATTACTGCTCCTGGCTCAGCAAAGCAAAGTGCATACATACTACAAAAGTTGTCAAGGAGAGCCTAAGGTATTTAAACCTGAAAAGGACTGGATTGCCTTCAGCAGGATATACAGCAAACAAGATGCTTCAGTCTACAAAAATTGTTTTATTAACCTCAGGTTAGAAAAGTGAAACTGTTATAAATAACTAAGTAGTTGTTAGCTTTTGCTATTATGTATTGACTTTTGCAAATTATTATTAACGATTTTGATATAGTACGGTTTGTAATCACATTTAACTGCTTTTGATATAGTATAATTTGTCAGCTTTTTGTGGCCAATGCTCTGGCCCCTATGTAGCTTGTATTCTCAGAGCACCATTTATAGATGATATTTTAGTTTGTGAATAGTATGATAAACATATATTATAGTTTCAGCTTTCACAAAATTTAACTTTTACAGAAGTAGCTGCAGAAGTTCACTACAGAAGTAGCGAAAAATAACTAAGTGACAATAATAAGAATAATTTATAAAATAGCTAATGTTGATTGAAAGTACTTGTGGAAATAACTAAAACTGTCTGCATAGTCAGGTAATATTCAAGGAATGGATGTGATAAGGACTCCTGCCCCTGACCCTTTGACTATCGATAATTGTCGCCTGCTGAAAACATGAAATGGGGGCCATGGTGAGGGAGTAACACATCACTCTCCAAAAGACAATACACATTACTGCATGTACTCTTAAAAGCAAGCCAAGGGTTGAACCAAGCTAAAGAATTCCCAGAACACGTAAATGAGTTCAAAGAAATGTTTGAATATGTATAATTTTTATGAATATGTATTTGACCAATGCAATGGGAAAGGTATATAAGAAGAGTTGTTACAATTAACTGGTGTGCCTCTAGCTATGGTTATGCACCCAGCACTGTTTACTGTTCCTTTTATCCTTTATTAAACCTTTAAAAAAAACTTTTAAAGAGTGAGGCTCATTTCTCACAGAAACCTTTCTGAAACTAACTATAACTCATGGGCACTTTCCTCCTTTAGACAATCAGTCCTAAATCCATTGATTTATATTCCTGATAAGGCAAACATGTAATGTAATACTATTGTTGTGACTTAAAAAACTAATTACTGTTTTTCTCTCATCCCCCCATGTTATAACACAGGCAAACACATGCAGTAAACATATGAAAAGATTTGGAAACATCAGAAACAGTACTGGAGGAACACAATATGCAATTATGTTTGCTTAAAACATTCTCAGCCTCCAACCATAAAACTTATGGGCTTCCAGAAACAGAGGCTGTTTTCTTGAGGTTCATCTTCTAGAAGTTCCTGCAAGTGGTGTTTTGAACCCATGCTGAACGAAACATACACATCCCAGTACTATAAAGAACTTATATTGTTTATTCCTTAATCTTCATATGGGAAAAAATAAACTACTTCAAATGTGTCTTCTTCCAGTTTTACTGTTAAGGAGGAAATGAAAGCACTGATTGATTATCTAAGTTCTGTACCATTTTCAAAGTATACTTTACAAATTTCCATCTTACACCCATCTCTTTAACACACACACACACACACACACTTATTCTATTTCAGAACAAGTCTAATCTACCCAGGGATGCTCCATACTGAAACTATTTTATACTTTTGATTAGTAAAAAATTTTAAGAAAAAATGAGAAGGGAAAATATACAATATACAATATGAACAATGGAAGCACACAAGGAATTTTTACACTGTTCTCATTGTTTTCAATGAAATAAAAATTAGATTTGTCTTTTTGACTGTACAATCAAGCATGAAACTTTAAAAACATTCAAATGTAATCTCAAGTTTTACTACTATAGAGGAATAATAGGTCCAATTTAGAACGTATGATTTTACATGCAACTCTACGACTGTCCTGTTTTCATTCTTCCTTTACATTTCTACCTGCCTATTTAACTGATGCAAACGAAAGTAGATGGTACTAGGTGTGCCACTAAAAATTTTGTCAACTGATATAGAAATTAATCTCTGGGCTATAGCTTGAGAGACTACTGACCTCTTCCAGCTTCCTGTAAAAAACTCCCTGCAATCCACCTCTCTCCTCTTAGTGGGCTATTAACTGAAAGGTTAATGCCCTTGGGCACAGGGCCCAAGACCATCAGAAACCCTGGAAGATTTACTGGATCACTGCATCCAGGTCATACACCTCTACAGCACAATATCCCACTTTAAGCTATCCTACCCTTCTTTAACCACTTGCTACCTTCTTGCTTACAGCTTCCTGTGCATGCAAAAGCCTCACCGGACAGCAGAAGCCCCACAAGCAAGTACACACTCAAGTGAGCACTTTGGCAAGCTCTGACCAAACAGGAGAGCCCTCTCACATCACTCTACAGGGGAAACAGCAGCAACAGAAAAGGGAAACATGACAGTAGCTGGAAATACGAACCTAATAGCTGATCAGTTAAGAAATGACAAAAAGAAATCTCGCTTCCAATATAGAAGTTGAAGACTTCCAATATAGAAGTTTGAGATGTCAAAACACAGGGAAGAATACAAGGTAAGCAATCACTATGCCATTGCTCCCCCATTCTATTCTCATACACAAAAAAACTATTTTTTTGTTTAAGCATAAGCTTAGTCTTGTTTTTCCAGCATCCCTAAAACCCGGGAAGACTATTTCAGGACCATTTCAGTCATCACAAGCAATTCAAATTTTCTCCACCCTCCTCTTTACATTTAAGAAGCACTTTTAAACTCCTGAAGAAGTTAAACTAAATACTTGGAGCTGGCTGGCTGGCTCTCTGGGACATAGCAGCTTCTCTAAGAAGCCATCCCTGTATCCCCTGCCACACGTACCCAGTGTACTGTTCTACTGCCTATCCATGCACTTGCTCCTCTACCACCAACAGCCATTCACATTTCATCAGTGTTCTCCTGCAGCTACTGAAAAATACCATGCATGCTACTGGAGAATTATAGGGAATACATGCCAGAATAGCAAAGGAGCACACAGGACAGTGAGCACAACTACACACATCTACTTAAAAGCCACACAAAGAGAGATGTTCTAACTAATATGGTATATAGAACTTCTGGAAAAGGAAGTCTCTGTAAAGGTAAGGTCATTCAAGCCATTCAAGACTCTGAACATGCTTCTAACATTTCCAGCAGCACTCAAACACTGAGTTTATAGCACAATGACTAAAGTTTGAAGTGAATAAACAAGCTTTATTCTTGTTCCCACAGTATCTTGCTGCAATTGAACTGGCAGATAAGTATTTAAGATTAAAAAATTCTTAATAATGAGAAAAATTTATAGAGTGATTCTAGTAGTCCTGCATATATTTAAATGGACATGCAGTTTTTTTTTGCTTTCATGCCACAACCAAAACATTTCCTTTGCTATTCTACATCCAATTTCTAAGGTAGATCTCAAATTCTTCTCTTCATTGGGATGCAAACATTTTAGAAACACAAATAAAAGCTAATTGAAACTGAAAAAAAGGACAATCACCCATAATGCAATTAGGCATTTATCTATACATTAATATAACAAGCTTTCACAAATTGGAAAAACCCCAAAACCACGGTTTAGACAGGGTTTAATGTTTAAAATTCATTACAAGAAACTTATCCTAGGAGAAGCACAAAAACTGCAGCAGCATTACCAAACTCATTTCCCCAGGTTAACAAATATGTTATACAGCCAAGTGCACAAGGTCAGTCAGACTCACCTTCCCTCATTGATTTTTGCTTTGTCCCCATGGCAAGTGAAGTTCTCGATGTAGCCCAGGCTGCAGTTTATCCGCGCCCAGTCAGGCTGGCACACAGCAATGAAGTGAGGGCGCAGCCTGCCTATGGAGTACTTGGCAATGTCTGTCAGCGACTGGCTGGCAGCTGCCCCAAAAATGAAGGTCCCAATGCCTTTGTAAATAGTGGCTATGTAGTTATTTCTGACAAACGAATTTGAGTGCAAATTATTATAAAAGACCGAGAGAGCCTCTCCTACGATTATCTGAAAAAGAAATAAGGAGAACAAGTTAATAATAAGAACATTAAAAGAAAAGTATGATGCTATTTTTGTTAATACTCACACATACAGTTTCAGAAACTATTTTTTTTACAAACATTAAGCTGCAAATTTAAGTTTTCCAAGAGTCAGCAGTAACTATGTCCAAACATTATAAACACTTTCACACAGAAGAGAAACACCTTTTCACTTTACCCTACCTCATGTTGAACTTAATAATATTATTTTCAGATTACTTATTAAAACAAAGCTTTCTCAGAATAACATTTAACCATTTTATTTGGTATGGCCCTAATTAGAAACATTTTCTCTTGCATAACTTCATTGAGTCTTCTTCAACTAACTTCTACTGAGTAAAATCTTTCAAAGATTGTTAGGTTTTTCATGAAACCAGAAACTGTTCTGAAGGGTTGAGACTTTTTATCCAGATCTGAAAGGCCAGATGTTTCAACCAAGAAATTTCCTATTCCTCATGGAAATTAAATCCTTTGGAGAGAAAAGAAAACTAATGAGGGTAAGGCAAAAAGACAGGTCTTACTGAGGTAAGATTTTTCATCCTACATGTCCAAGATACATGTATCAAGTGCTGTCAAGAAATCAGACCTAATTTTGTTTTCTTGAAGCTTCCATCTTTTGCAGAAAGTAAGTTTTTTCTTATGCCAGATACAGAACTTCAGATAATTTGGATATTGAACCAGTTGGTCCCATTCTGTACAGAAATAATCAATTAATACAGATTATCAGGTATGTGGAGGACTGGATGTATATATCTAAAGTTACCTTGAAAAATCATGTAAAAATTAAAATTATGGCTCTGTCTGAGATGCTGGGTCCTGGATCCCAGCAAAGCAGAGCTGTGGTGAATGAAGCCATTACTTAGACTTTGCCCCCAGGCACATGGGGTGACAGCTTGCCAGAGGCTCTGCACATGAAGGCAAACAGACAATACTGCCAGATGGGTGACAATGAAGCTTTACACCACACCCAAACATGGGCTGAAGCAGAGAAGTACCAAAACATGGACTAAAGCTGAGAAAGTTTTCAGTAAAATACATAGACACCTAATCCAGAAAGTAACCTCTTAAGAAGATGACTGAGCACAGACAGCCATGACAGATCAACAATGAATCCCCTTCAAACAACACTGCTGCAAAACCTGCAAGAAGGTCACTTATCTCAGGTACCAAAAAATTAGTTGATGTCAGTGCAATCACTATACTGGACAGACATCAAAGAATATTCATCTTCAATAATCTGACTAAGCATTGAGTAAAGGACACCAATATTTGCTTTTACCATGAAGCAATCTTGACAGAAAAGCCTAAATTCACAACTTAAAGGTATCCCCTGATGTTACAAAAGAAACTTAGTCAGCTAAATATTCATATGGGCTCAAATGGAGATTGGATTAATCCAAAGGGAATACATCCATTTAAAAACTATATGTAGTGGAGCCTTTTCTGACTCAGGAAGTCCCCGAGCTGCAAATGGCTGGTAGCCAAATACTGAGGGCAATACATCAATCTTCCCATGCTCTATTCTGTTCTTCCTCACTCAGCTGTTTTGGCTGCTCTAGAAATGAAATAAGCTATATGGGCTTTAGTTGTGACCAAGCCCTGATGTTCTCAGGTAATATTGACTACCCAAAGGTAGTAACAGGGTGGAAAAAAACAAGTCTTATCTTAAAGGGAGGATCTTTAGCATAAGCCACTTGCCAGTTAACAAAACACACAAACCCTCCCTCCACCCAAAATTTCATCTGCTTCAGAAGCATTTCTGTAAGTCTTTGAAGCAGCTTTTCCAAGAAGAGGGGAAACCAGGCAAGTCACAGCTTCAATTCTCAGAACATACTTCTACACTTGCAAAAAAAAAATTTCACCCAAAAGCAAATATGAGCTGAAAGTTGACCTTTATGCTGGAACCTTGATAAAAATCCATGCAGTCCCTATGCAAGGCAGAGTTAGATTATCATAATATCCCTCCTGACTGAAACCCATTAGCCCAGAGAAACAGCTGGTCAATACTGAGGATTACCTTTAGCTGTGCCTTTTCATTTTTGGCTCCTAAATATACTTGAATAAATATTTATACGCCTAAAAATCTTATTTGGCATAAGGAAGTTTTAACTCTGTACAAAGTGTGGCTCTGATGAGTTTGGATGCCACCCAACAGAACCATCAGTGGAGACTGAATCTTTTTAGCACATCTGGACAGGGATCTTGAGGCCCCTGTGGAAGGGCCATTGCAGGAACTGCAGTGCAGCCCCATCAGACCCAGGACATGAAATGAAGAGGCCCAACTGCCCCCTCTGCTCATGAGGACACGTCCCAGCTATTTTTTGCCCCAGCACTGGTATTCTTCCAAGAGCCATTTGCACTCCATGTAGTCAAGGAAAGCTGCTGTGTCCTGCCAGGCTAAGGAATTTCACCAGCCGATCCTGGCTCAGACAGGCCACAAGAGGTGGCGACAGACAGGGTAGTAGGCAGGACCTCAACTTTTGTCCATACATAGTAAGGTATTAGGTTAGCTCAGCTGACAGCATATAATTAAATATTAGGGATAGAGAGTCCCTATATGCTTGAGACAGTTCAGCTGACCTAGGAGCTGTGGTCAGAGAGAGATCCCAAACTGGTAAGTCACAGTCAATCTGTCCAGCTCACTGATCTGGTGTGAAGGGGAGGAAAGAAGAAAAGTACCCTGTTTTCAGCCAGGTTAGGTGCAGTATGAAAGTAATAATGCAAATGGGCCCATAGTTTTATCCTGATCTTCAGGGAAACATCCAGGGGAAAACTCCACACCTACTTATTCTTTTTATTCTATTTATGCTTTTGATAACATCTGACTAGAAGCCATAATCTTTCTTTTAAATAGGCTAGTATCTGTTATTACAGTTCCACACACAGAAGGATTCCAAAACATTTTGTGGCAGATAAAAAATACTGACTTAATAGGTCATGCACAATGATATTCTGAAACTAGCAGGTCCTGAAATAAAAAGAATTGTGACAGTCACAACACATTAGTGTTATTTTCAACAAATATGGTAAGAAGTTTTTATCTCTCAGATTATAGAATGAAGCCACCATAGTTCTAAGGTATTATTTTTCTGTTCTATAATTCTATCCGTTTGACTTCAGTTAAAGAAAACCTTTTAATTAACCTTTTAGTTAATGTTGCAGTGTGAAGCACCATCCCATACCTGGTCTCCTTCTTCCCAAGATCCCCTTAAGCATCCCAAAATTCCTTCCCCATCCCCTGACTCTCGTGCTATCTCCCCTCCCCACCCCTTACCTGTTGTACCCTCAAGTCAATCTTGCCAGACCACCATTTCTACTGCTTTAGCACCTGGCCTAAGGACATTATTTTAGGGTTGAGAAATCTTACAGATTAGTTTTGTAAACCTGTATTAACAGATCCCCCCTCCTCCCTCTTCCCCACCCCCACTGAAATAAAAAGCAAGGAAGAAAAGTTTAACTTACAACAATTACACTGAAAGGAATAATTATTCCTGCTAACAATTTATAAGAAATGGTGTCCTCTTTGTATGGATACCGGATGGATTCATCACTACAGAAAACGCCTCTCTGGAAGGGGGTACGTCGTGAACTGAGAATTGCAAAAGGCAAGCCAGCTGGCAAAAAGGAATACAAAATACATTACAAAACCAAAACAAACTGGCAATGATCATACCCCCACATTTCCAAAGAGAAGTGCATAAAGAGGAATGGGCATGCAGGAAGTTAGAAGGTTATGCACTTCCCTTGGCCAATGACTACTGCCTTGACTTTGTAGCTTCCAGGAAGGATTGCTGAATGAAGGAGAGCAAGGCAGGATTCCTCTCATCTTCATGTTTGTGGCACTTCAAGTGTGGAAGAATGCCAAAACCATGACTGAGTAAATAGTTCAGTGACAACCACTGAGGTGCTCAATCTGCTGCTACTGGCACAATTATCAAATTTTTCTTTGTATTCCAGTGAGCAACAGTTGCCCCTGTACACCTTCTCTGGACAGCTTTACAAGTCAGAAGAGCATAAATTGCATTTCATGAAAGCAGAAAAGGAGGTGCTTTCAAGGGAGTGCAAGTGCAGAGGGAATATTTGGGAATATGGAGAAAAGGAAATTGCACATGCACACGATTCCCTCACTTCCTCACACGCTGGATATCTTCCTAGAACGACCTACACCCTCAAGGCATGGAGATTTTATTCCCACCTCTTCCACCAAAGAGGATGCCTTTGGCTTAATCTAATACCTACAGGACACAATAGTAAGCTGCACAATGCTGCAAGCTATTGCATGTCAAGGTACCCACAACACAAACCAAAATTAGTCATTTGAACAGCAAAGGTTTTTTCAAAAAATTCAAAATAGGATGCAAATTACCATAAACTGATAGAATCCCACTTCTAAATCCTGTTCCTCCATCCTTAACACACATACAACATCTGCACAATCTGTTTGTGTACAGGGATGAATACTCTTGGAAAGAAAAGGCTGTATGGAAAACAAGAGGTGGAGGACCACAAAGAATGTTTAACAAAAAAACCCCCCCAAAAAAAAACCACTTTAGCTTAGGCATGTAGAGCCCAGTAGCATAACCCTTGACTTTATGCTCAAAATTCAGCTGTGTTGCACATAAAATGCATACCACTTTAAAGTTACACAACAAAACTCATCCGGAAGAGACACTCCCATCCAACATTAAGGGATCAGAGAGATAAAAACAGTCTCCATCCTTCCTTCCCAGCAGAAATAAATGTTGTTCAAGTCACAGTTCTCTCCTCAAGACCTCTGGGCCAAGGCATAGCCTACCTCTTCCTTTCCAGATACACAGCTAGCCCCATAATAAGCATGTGTAAATAAAACTAAAGATGTAAAGAGCAGGAGAAAAAGCGAGCAAAAGAAGATGCCAAGCATCAAGAAAACTGTTAGGGAAGAGACCTAGGATCCTTTCCAATCCCCTTCCCTCTTTCCCTCCACCCATG